GGTCATTTTGGGACTACTGCAACTCGCTCCTGGCAGGTCTGCCTATGAGTACCAGTCAACCTCTGTAAGAGATCCAGAATGCAGCTGCATCACTTGTTTTCAACCTTCCTCCCACACCACCCCATGCCTCCACTGGCTTCATGCAGCTGAAGACAGATTTAAAACACTAATGCTTGCCTACAAAGCCAAAAATGGACCAGCACCAACTTACCTTAAAGCACTCATCACACCCTACACTGCACCACGGATCCTCTAACACTGCTTGACTGGTCCCGCAATCTCTCAGGGTACAAGGAAGGCATACATCAAGATTCTTCTCTGTTCTAGCAGCTAGGTGGTGCAATGAACTTCCCCTAGATGTCTGAACAGCTGAGTCACTGGCAGTCTTCAAACGACGACTAAAGACCTACCTTTTCATGAAGTACTTAAATTAGCACTTTTAAAAAATCTTGAGTTGTCTATGTGCTTTTCTTACTATATTACTTTCCCAAGAGTTTTTAGACTGATAGTATTCTTAGTCCATGGTCCAGAGGGCACCATTCTCTGAGTTGTTCACTTCCTGTTACACCCCTTAAAAAAAAAAAGCAAGCACACAAACTTGAACCTTAAGCTTTATAGTTTGCTTTGTGAGTGCTGAGCTATGTTTTTGTGGATAGCTGTTACAGGATGGTTCAGTGTGGACCCAATGGCAGAGTGAAAACCCCTAACTGCTAATAAATAAATGGGCAAGCAAGTTTTATATATAGGTAAGAGGAAGGTTCAGGGAAGGGTTTGGGTGTGTTTTGTGCACTTTGAAAAACAGCCCCATGTGGGGCTCAACCCAGGAATTGCCACACTCAAAGTTTTCACTATTTTTTCCCCCAGAGACACTCTATCTGTAAGGTCTCTCCTTTTTCAATTGTGTCATATATAGTTGTTTTAATTTCTTTCTGTTTTCCCGGCCATGCCTTAAATCCTTCTTGTCCCTTATTTCCTCCACTTTCTTTCCATTTTATTTTCTAATTCTTTTTTGTTCTTATTTTCCTTTTCTTTTTCTGTTTACATTTACCTCAGGCAAAGCCCTGACATACCATACCGGTCACCCCTCTACAAAGGTGCAACAAAGGACTGTAGCCAAGGCTGGCCTTAAGTATCCTGCCTGGCAGGTGCAGGCAATCCAGGTTAATCAGCCTGGAGAATTCTGGGCAACTGAGTTCTCCCGCATGGCCACTCTTGCTGTGCACCACTGCCTCCCTCTGCTGGCTGCCAGCAGTGTAGCGGTTTTACAGATAGCCTTTCTGTGTTTTGACCTTGCTTTGCCTAGATTTCTGCCTTTTGCATTGCCCTTCTGGTTTTAAGATGTTTTTGGAACTTGCCTGGCATCTTGTATCTGATTGTTGGATTGTGTTTTTTGGAACAGTGTATGCTGGAACAGGTTGCTGACTCTCGTGATAACAATCCTGTCTGTTTTGACTAAGTGTTTTGTTCTAATAAACCTCATGCAATTATTCTGTGTCTCTAATCCGTCCATTACATATACACATTATATATATATATATATATATATATATATATATATATATATATATATATATATATATATAGTCTGCCTGATTATAGAAAATACTAGCTGTGCTAAATGTGTGAATGGTGTGGTTCAAATGTCTCCCTGGCTTCAAACTCCAGATGGTTGTGCACCTTTAGGGAGATAGCTAGATGAGAATGTGTGAATTCTGAGTGCTGGTTCCATGTTTTTAATTTACCTTAGCTTAACTCACATAGCCTAAGAGAAGAATCTGTCAGTCAGTTGAGTCCAGGATGATGTTTTATTACACCAGCCAAAATAATCTCAATACTATTTTACCTTCTGCTGTTTGAATACCCTGGTGTTTAGGTAAAACTCTAATGTGTGAGGTATGGCAGTTGAAACTGTAATTATCTCACTCACCCCCTTACATTTCTCTCGTGACTGTCTTCTCCTTGCTTTCTACCTAAAATCCCTAAATTGCATGTCCTCGCTGTCAAGGAACCATGGCATCAACATTAAGCTGGAAATGACATGATTGGCATCCACTGCCTCCATAATCAACTGAGATTTGATGAATACATATAACCACAGTGCTAGGAAGGCAGGCTACCTGAATTCAAAAACGCCAATTACAGCTTTCCCCTAAGAAAATCACCCAGATGGAGGCAAAATATTCACCAATTTGTGTGTTCATTACAGCAGCTAAGTTTTGTTTAAGACAATGATTGCAATATAGCCAGCTACACTTCTATTTTATTGTCTTGCAAATGATTTGCACTGACAGGTGTTAGTGAATGAGGTCATCACTGCCACTTGTCACATCTTGTATCATGGATTGATCTCTCCAGCATTCATGTTATGAAGCTTGCGGTAGTATTGCACACAGTGAAAACAGTGAAACTGAAGGTCTTATTTTGTGTTTTCTATGTACCTCAATGAGCCATGTGTAAAACATTTAAAAAATATAAGAATGAAATGTAGACTGGGATGCATCTAGTGTAGGTCCACTACAGATCTAGAGCCACAATAATGGAAAGTATATTATCGGGCAACGTTTCAGCCTCTCTGTCTCTGAGAAGGTTTAATGGAAATGCTAAATAGGTGTTATTTTTTTCTTTTCACTTGTAAGTGTTTGCTGTCAGTACTGAGTAATTGCCAAGATCACAGCTAATTAGATTATATGTACTCATGAGTATTCATGAATTATAATCAATAATGATCATAATAGTATAATGTAATGGCAGGTTTCTTTCTTGACAGTAACTTTCAAGCCTAGAATGAGCACACAACAGCATATATATGTGCAAATGTCTTAGGTACTTAAATTCCTTTATAATTTTTTTCTTAAACATTTACCTGTTAACTTTATGTATTCTGCATTAGTGTCTCTGTGGAAAATACCACATTTTAGATGTCTAAACAAACAAACAAATAAATAAATAAATAGAATCATTGAGGATGTCTGGAATTATGTACAGAAGCAATTGGCACAGTCAGAGTCTACTTCATTTCTACTTTTTGGCTGCTATATATAGTACTGTATTTGATATTTTGAAAGCCTCTCTGCTTCATATAAAGAAACCCTAGACCTTTCAGATTCAGAGTACTTGCCAATATATTAAACTGTTATCCTAAATTGGTTTAGAATCCCCAAATCCCCAAGCACCAAAACATCAACACAACACAAACCCTCTACAGCTTGTTAGACTGCTATCCTCACAGCCAAGCACCTCCTGAGCATCTGCCCCACTATTACCCTCTGCTTCCCCTGAGAGCTGGACTGCTTTTTAAGATAGATTTTAAAAGCAATGAACACATCCACTGGGACTGTGGGGGCAGCAAGACTCAAATGATTAATTGTCCGACTTGTTGGTGTTTCTTCCACCATACACCCTTGAGTCAGCACTGAAGTGCCTGTTCACTGTCTGTGCCACAACCCTGCAAGGCTTATGAGTCCTCCTTCTCTACTTGACTTTCTTCCCTCTCATTTCTCCTTTTGCTGTCAGTTCTTGTGGTTGATCTGGTGAAGTCAGGTGGCTGACATGTAGAGCTGGTCACTTTCATTATTGATTGATAACATGAACTCCTGAAGTCAGTTTCTTTACAAATTTGTTAGGGAACATGTTATTTCAACAATCACTAGCCGCAAATGTGCGCCAAACAAGTTGTTCATGCTCAGAAGCAGTGGCAGCTTGTCTGTAGGGGCATACAGTATATAGCTGTTCAACAAATTTTAAACTTCATAAATGCCTCATTTATAACTCCAAACATTTTACATTCTACTGAATTCTGTGCTCACTGTCCCACTTAGTTCCACAGACTTATTACTGCACCTAGTCGTCAAAAATGGGAATCCCACTGCCCCATGCTCAGGAGAGGAGTAGCAGACAGAACACTTAATAACAGGGTTGCCAGGGTCATGCTTTTATACCCAATTGGACTCATTTAAATATATTCCGTGGCTGCCAAGAACTTGTTTTATAGCAAATAATCAGATTTAAACCTAATAAATTTCTGCAAACAAATGCAAAGTGTAAGAGCAGACAGTGGGCCCCATCTGGAAACTGTTTGTCGTAACATTTACACAAAAAATTTGGTATTCCTGAAAATCCCATAATTTCAGAAGAAAAAAAAACATATCCTAGGGGATTCCATTTGCCTAGTCCTTATTCTGTGTGCCTGAGCCCTCCGTTATATATACATACTATATATATATATATATACATAAAACTGTTCGTATACATACACAAACACACACACACACCAAAATAAAGAAAGCAAGCAAAAATAAATCAATAAATTAAGACAAATAAGACCAGTCACTCAGTTAACAATGCTGCTGCATATAAGGAGGATGGGCTGCAATGACTCAGGCGGTGTATAAATCGGTTCCATTTTCCATGGCATCTTCTTGCAATGCCATGCAACACTTTACTAGCGCCAGCACTAAGTGACCGTTATGGTATGTAAGTGACTGATCTGGTATGTAAGCTGCCATAAGCCATATATTGCCTAGAGTGCCATCATCAGGATTCCTGTGACACTCGCATGCCCTTCTGCTTTTCCAATTTCTTTTCACCTCACTTAATTCATATCTTTTCCTTTTCTGTTATTTGGCTCTAGATTTTGGCCTTTTCAAGAGGTTGTTGTGCTGTTAAATAATATGTAATTTAATTGGCATATATGTGATTCAATATAACAACATTTCCTAACCTTTTGTAAATCTGACAGAAATTTTTAGCTTGGTTTGTTTTACACAAAAGTTTACAAACAAATTTACTGAAAATGTATAAATTAGGCCCAGTTTGTCTATGCTGTACAGAATTGCTGTAGTTCCTCTTTTGGTTGCTCCCATTAGGGGTTGCCACAGCAGATCATTGGTCTGTGTATTTGATTTGGCACATTTTTTATGCCGGATGCCCTTCCTGATGCAACCCTCCCCAATTTTACCCAGGCTTGGGACTGGCACTGAGAGCACAGTGGCTGGGGTTGGTACCCTGGCTAGGAATTGAACCCAAGTTGCAGTAGTGAGAGTGCTGTGGCCTAAGCACTAGTCCTCCAGGGATCCCTATGCTGTACAGAATCATTTCTATTATAAGATATATTGCACAGATGGAGAGAGGAAAAAGGGAATTTAAGGAGTGGATAATGTTTGTAAATCAGAAAGATGTGTCCACTATGGTGACCTTGCTTCCCACACAAAAGCTGAGAAAAAGAAGAAAAATGTGCATCCCCTTTCTAATGCCTGAATTTATTTTTATCAAGTTTCAGGTCTTTTGTATGGTTTTTAAGATGTAGTTGGGCTGGAAATTTTGGTGAAACTTGGCATCCCTGGTTAATGATATTACATCTTGGGATATGGCAATGATATGATTGCCTATGGCAAAAGATATGACCAAAACCACTTAAATTCTAAAATTCTCTAGATAATAGCTTATAGGATAAGTCAAAGTGTCATTATTAATGTCGTCATGAGCCTCTGCTGCTCAGAAGAGGCGTTGTAGCTCAGTGGTAGCTTAGTGTTTAAGATGTTGGACTACTGCTTGGAAGGTCATGAGTTTGAATCCCAGTACTGTCAAGCTGCCACTACTGGACCCTTGAGCAAGGCCCTTAATCCTCAACTGCTCAGTTGTATAAATGAGATAAATGTAAGTCACCCTGGGTAAGGGTGTTTGTCAAATGCTGTAAATGTAGTGTAATTGCTGTAGAAACAAAGTACAGGGTTACAGAAAAGAAATCAAAAACATTTTCTGTAATGTGTGTGAAATGCTTGTGGAAGAAATGGCCATTATAAATGCTGATGTTACTATTTAAAAATAACAGTGTAGTACTGTATATACAGTGTCAGTCAATGGCTATTGAGTATGGTAGGTCATAGCCTTTCCTAGAATAGCATAAGAACTTATTGAGTGTGTGTTTAATAAGAGAGCTGATTTTGCTAAAATGAGAAACTGAATACCACAGAGGTGTATACATCACACATACCATGGTTTGCTGACTCAACAGACCATTGCTGCACTGTAAAATGGTAAAACATTATATAAAAGCTGATCTGCCATCGGCTTCTAAGGCCTGTGAAGCATGTAGTAATTGACAGCTTATTGAAGATTATTCGACCTTCTGCCAGCAGTCAACCCATGAAGTGCCAGCATAGCAATAACAAGAGAGCTTTCATATATTATTCCATGTGGCACACGGAGAGTTTAAGTATGCCTCTTGAGAGTGAATGTTATTGAGAACGAGAGAGCTTCTTTCCTCTGTGATCACTATGATCATCTCCTGCGATCAGTCTGATTGATGTATATGAGGATCTTTTCCCAGCACGTTGCCGTGGCAACTCTGCGATGTCCCGCGGGATGTGAGACATTCCCCACAGTTCATTGCAGTGCATGGGTCATTGCTCTCTCCAAATAGCTCACTATGTGATGCCTGGTCCCCTACCCTGTCTAAAAGCTGTGATTAAACTGTTTCCACCACAACAGGAAGCTGAGCTTTGCGTCAGTCTTGCCCTGCTGGTGGCAAATATCTGGAGAAATCAAAAAAGTCTTGACATTGACAGCCATGGCAGCCTAATGATGGCATTGCATGTCACGATTTCCTTTCTGATTGTGGAATAAATGAGAACTCTGCATGCATTTTAAGGGCTTTTAATGTGACACTGTCTGCTGCTCAGTGTCATTAAGGCTTTTGGGAACATTATTAAAGACAAATTATCCCAATTAGACATTAGATTTATGATAGAAGTTTGATTGTTAGATTGTTAGATTTATCATGTTCTTATTTTTATGTAATACAGGGGTGGGTACAAGAAACAAGGTTCATAACAGAAATTTGGCAAATTCACAACTGCTCACATTACTCCCCACAGGAATAGCACATTGCTTCTCTCCTCAGATTACCTTTAGCTCTGCAAGATAAAGGTATGAGTGCTTCTTATTTGGTTACTTCAGACATTAATGGCTCATTTGAGGCTTAGGATTGCACAGATGCTTCATCGTCTTATAAATACTCAAGCCCCATTAATATTCGGTGACAGTGTGTGTGGTGAGTGGTCACCTTGAGTGCATTTGAGACCCCAGGTCTCATTTACAGATTCAGCTGGAGCACGTCATGACATGGCCTTGCTGTGGTCAGCTCCCTCTAGCTATGATGACCATTCACTGACTCACTACTCATATTCAGAAGTTATTTGAGGTTAATGAGTGCAGTTTTAATTTAACCCTATAGGTAAATTAGTTCTGAAAATTCTAGGGTCTCAGTACTCCATGATCAAAAAATCCCAGCAGCATCTCTACTTTCTGCTAAGGCTGAGGAAAGCTCATCTCCCACCCCTCCATCCTCATCAAGTTCTAAAGAGGGACTGTCAAGAGCATGCTGAGCAGCTGCATCAGCTGCCTGGTTTGGAAACTGCTCCGTCTCGGACAGCAAGACCCTTCAGCGGATAGTGAGGACAGCTGAGAAGATCATTGGGGTCTCTCTTCCCTCAATCACAGACATTTACACCTCACGCTGCATCCACAAAGCCACCAGCATTGTGGATGACCCCACACACCCCTCACACAAACTCTTCACCCTCCTGCTGTCTGGCAAACGGTACTGAAGCATTCGGTCCCTCACAGCCAGACTGTGTAACAGTTTCTTCCCCCAAGCCATCAGACTCCTCAATACTCAGAGACCAGACTGACAATACACACACACACACACACACACACTCAACTGAACACCTTCCCACTCTCTTTGCAATTTTTGCACATTTCTATATTTACTACCTACATTTTGTTTTGCTGCTACTGTATTTATAAAATATTGTATATAATCTCTTGTCATTAATATACTCTCTACCTGGCTGCTACCCCAATAACTGCTATGTCCATATATAGCATAAACTTATCTGCCTATGTCATATGTCTGTCATAGTATGTTATGTTTACATTCACAGCAATTTTTTTATACTGTTATTCTTTTGCAATACTGCTATATCTGACACTAGAACTGTGTACTAGTCGGCATGGCACTGTATCTTACTGTGCCTATTGTCCTGTTTTGGTAGTCATTGTGCTGTCTTGTGCTGTTTGCACATGTTTGCAAGTGCACTTTATGTAGTAATGTGTAGTCTTTTGTAACCCTTTGTTGTTTTATGTAGCACCATGGTCCTGGAGGAGCATTGTTTCGTTTCACTGTGTACTGTACTAGCTGTATATGGTTGAAATGACAATAAAGCCACTTGACTTGACTTGACTTGACTTGAAATGTTTTGCAGACATTTGAAACACTGTCATATTGAGTAATATTGTTTTGCTAAAGCAGAGGTTGAATCTGGTGACACTGTAATCTTCTTTGGACAACGTTATTAGGTTATTGTCATTATCCTCTAAATCCTGAAAATAAAATTAGCAATACCCTGTTGAGACTAGTTCACTTATTCCAGGACTGTATACCATAATAATGTACCATTAACTCTGTAAATATCATTATTGATGTTAGACACTGTCACTAGATAATCGTGCACCATGATGCTAATTTCCAATTAATGTGAAACATGTTTTTTGTAAAGAATAACGTTTTTTTTTTTTCTGAAAAGCAGCAAATTAAAATTACACCAGTAATTAATCCTAACATTAACTGGTAACCAGTGAACAGAGATTATGTGCTACCCAGTTTTCATAAGATGATGAGCTGAACTAACTGGAAACAAGCCAGCGCTCCTTGCCTAAGGCAAGCAAACAAAGAATTGCAGTAAATCCAATAATGACATGTATTTATGTAATGACATAAATACCTGAATACATTTCTCCAAATCCTGAAGAGACAATCCATGTCTATTCTTATTAATATGTCCTAAATGGGGGGACAGGATTGAACTAGCTTATTGTTATGCATCACAGAATTCAAAGAAAGATTAAAAAAATAATAATAGTACATTTCAAGCAAAGCGTTTATCATTAGATGCCAAGGGACCAAGGGCTACCTGAATTTCCCTAGAAATACTACCAGGGTCAATTATATAGACTTCTGTTTTGTCTTCATTTAACTTAAGAAAGTTACAAGAGTTCCAGTTATTAATTTCTAAGAAAACAGTCAGCTAACCTTCTGAAATTTTCATTTTTTATGAACAAGTAAAATTGTATGCTTAAAAATGAAAAGAGACTAAAATGTTCAATTAAAATTCCCATGGAATTAATATAGACTGAAAATAAAATTGAGCCAATAATGGATGCCTGAGGTACTCCACAGGCAGGGGCAGCAAGATAGAATAATTTATCCCCAACAAAATTTGAATTGAGAATTTCCTCTCAGATAAATCATACAATTAAGAGCATTGCCCAAAATACCCACCCAGGAGCAGTCAGTTTTTTGACTATAATTTTTTTCAAAGATTGTTTGCTCTAGTGCACATAACAACTAAACAGCATATCATGATGCTCCCACCTCCGTACTTCACTGTGAGTATGGTGTTCTTAGGATCTTACATGCAGCCCTTCTTTCTCCAAATGTAACAAGCTGAATTATAGACAAAGAGTTCTATTTTTATATAGTCTGAATAAAGTATATTGTTCCAAAGAGTTCTGATTTGTCCAAATGCTTTTAGACATTGTTTTTTAGCTGAGGAGTTTTGCATGGAGTGTAGGAACGAGATGATTTTGGCTTATTTTTCTCTGCGTAACTTTTGTTCCTGCTGCTTTCAGATCATCCTGAAACTTTTTTCATCTGACTGCTGGCTTCTCTCTTACCTTCCTTATGATTAGTCTGAGAGCATGTTGTGAAATCTTGCATGGTGCAATTAATTGTGGTTATACGAACTTTCCATGTTTGCATGTATGTATATATGTATATGTAAAGAAATGTTGTAAAACCTTCACAAATAAAGAAATTAAAGGTTTTCTATAGAAAAAAACCTGCAATAAAGAGTAGTAAAAGGCAATCAACTTAACAATGTCAATATTGTTACATTTCAGTATTGTGTGACAGCTCATTTTAAAAATGCATTATTAGTCTCAGGTACACTTTGTACAGTTTTATAAGGAATTTGGCTGGTAAGATTTACTGAGCATTCTTCTGACATAC